TAAAATGAATTCTGGTCCCCTAGAGAAGTAGATGGCTACAATTTAAGGACCATATCACTTTTCTGAGACTACGTTTTGCAAAATTTAGTAGGTTTTCACATAAGCACTTCTCTAAAAAATTTTTTCAAGATAACTTTTATTGGTACATTATAATTGTACATAATAATGGGCTTTGTTATTACATATTTATATATTACATAAGCATTTCTGCTAGTTGTGACCTTAACTCTAAGCACCAGTTCTCTTAAGAGATCTTAATAATTTGTGACCCCAGAAGCACTAAGAATCCAGCTAGGTATGATGAATGGCACTCCATGCTTAATTCTCTCTTTCAACCCCAGTACAGATGGCATCTAATAGCCTTGGCTTCAGGCTGAAGCTAAGGGAGGTCTGAATGAGATCACTAACAGGTGTTAGTGCTAGAGACCTTAAATGAAATCTAGGCTCACAACTCCATCCTAACTTCCCTTGATAAAATCCTACCCAATAGCTGCAAATCAGCTCTTCTCCAAAAGAAATCCCCCTTTCATCTGCAAGCTGCTGAAGCTGGATTGTACTCCAGGGATATGGAGTATTAGAACTCCTCAAGCTGTAGTGTCTACTGATGTCAAAAAGCTTTTCTTGAAGTCCTTACCATGGGGACTTGGAATTTTCCTTTCTGAATACAGATGGGGTGGGGAGAATTTATAAAGTTTCTTTTATCAGAAGTAATCTCTTGGAAATTTCCACACATTCTGGCCACCTAAGATCATGCAAATTAGAATCTTTTTGGAAAATAAACAACAGAAGTCTGCTTTCTGTCTCAGCATCCTTTCTTTGGTTGATATTTTTAAACCTAACTCGCCATCATTTCCCTGTATATTATAGCAATGCCAAAAAAGATTACAAGGGAAACAACCAAATCAAGAGTCTTATACTTCCAGAGTTTTGATGCCTTATCGATAATTCTATCAGCCAAGTCAGCCAAGTCTCACTTGTTAATTATTAGAAAAACAACTTTCTAATAGAGCTTTGTTCTACTAAACAAGCCAAACTTGTAAAATAAACACATCACTGCTGTCAGATGTGGTTGTGCATGCCAGAAAACCCAGCAACTTGGGAGGCTGTGGCAAGAGGATCGGAAGTTCAAGGCCAGCCTCAGCAACCTACTGAGGCCCCCAACGACTTAGTGAGACCCTGTGTCAAAATAAAAAATTAAAAGGGCTGGGATGTGGCTCAGTGGTTAAGCATCCAAATAAAATAAAATAACAATGCTGGAGTTATCAAAGTCAGGGGCTAGGCCACCGTACCATCACAGAGCCAGTATCTGATTCCCTTTTTCTGGTTCCATGGTAGAGATAATAAAATGGAGAAACAAAAATGTATAAAATATAAGGAATCGTCCAGGAAACCCTACCCAGTCAAATGGTCAACCAAAACTTAAACCTGGATGTGTTAAACATTTTTATCATGACAAATTTCTGTCTGTGTGAAATTAGCAAATCTTTTATCTGGTACAGTTACTTTTGACCTGGATAAATCCACAAATGAAATTAATCCAAATGTTCCAGAGATAAAGGAATAAGTTAAATGTGAGAATTAACTTTCTTTAAAAAAGTGAATAAGGAGATAAATATATTTAACCTGATTTAAGTATCACACAAAGTATACGTGTATTGAGACATTATGTAATACACCATTAATAAATTCAATTTTATGTTTTTATGTATCCATTAAAATAAATTAAAACAATAAAATTTAAAAAGGAAGGAGGGAGGGGGGGAGAGAGGAAGGGAAAAAAGGAAGGAAAGAAAGAACAGAAAAGGAAAGAAAAAGAAAAGAAGAAAAAAAAAGAAAAATTTAAAAGATCAGCTAGTTCCTTTAGGTGCCAGGAGTAATCCCTGACCAGCAATCCCTGACCCACTTAAAATGAGATGCTATTTGGTCTTTCTTGTCTCCTGGCAACCTTGATTAGTACTAGCATCTCTGGTCCTAGAAATGCTGCCATGGTAGGTAGTGATGAGATATCACTAAAGTCAAGTGTCACACTGCCACAACAACTAGCTACAAAAATGCTTGTGTGTTCATACATGAACATACAACCAGTGAACTCTACATCATGGACAACCACAGAGTGGAATTCTAATTAAAATAAGTTAGTCCCATGCATATATAATATGTCAAAATACACTCCACTGTCATGTTAATATCTAAAAAGAACAAATTTTAAAAATGCTCATAAATACTTGTGGATTGCTCGGCCTATTGTTTATTTGGTCTCAACTGTACATTGAGCTTTCACATACTTCTTATACATGTGCCTGGCTTTCTACCAGTGCTGGGTTTGTATTAGGAGTATATAGCAACTGTACTTCTGAAATGAATCCCGTAATTAGTAGCACCAGATGAAACCCTTCTTCCATCTGCTTAGGGCCTCTTTGATTTCCTTGTTCCTCAGACTGTAGATCAATGGATTTAACATGGGGATGATGACAGTGTATAGGACTGACGCCAGTTTGTTCTGACTCAGGGAATCTCCCGAGTTGGGATACATGTAAACAAAGATACCTGAGCCAAAGAAAAGGATCACGACCGTCAGGTGAGAAGCACAGGTGTTGAAGGCCTTGGACCTGCCTTCAGCTGAAATGATCTTCAGTAGAGCGGCAACAATGTAACCGTAGGATACCACGATGACCAAGACGGATGTGAGCCCAAAGATCACTGTGAGCACAGAGGTCATGACTTGAAAGAAAAAGGTGTCAGAGCAAGAGAGGACCAATAATTGAGGCAGGTCACAAAAGAAGTGGTTGATGACATTTGGCCCACAGAAATGGAGCTGAAGCAAAGCACACAGTTGGATAAAAGAGCCAAAGAACCCAGCAATGCAAGATCCTGCCACCATCTGCACACAGAGGGTGGGGGACATGATGGCTGTGTACAGCAGGGGATTGCAGATGGCGGCATATCGATCGTAAGCCATGGCTGCCAGAAGACAGCACTCAGTCAGACCCAGGCTGGAGAAGAAGAAGTACTGCATGGTGCACCCCAGAAAGGAGATGGAGCTATGCTTCTGGAAGAAGCCAGAGAGCATCTTGGGGGCTATCGTGGAAACGTAGCAGATATCCAGAAAGGACAGGTTGCTGAGGAAGAAATACATGGGTGTATGTAGGTGGGCGTCCATCCTGATGAGTGTGATGAGGCTCACATTCCAGGACATGGTCATCAGGTAGATCCCTAGGAATACTGAAAAGAGGGCAATGGTGAGCTTTGGAAACTCAGAGAATCCCAAGAGAATGAACTTCGTAATTGTTGTATGGTTCCTTCCTTCTGTCATAGCGTTGGTGGTCCCAAGATCTGCAGGGACAGAAGAGAACAAATCCCTAAGTCAGTTGTTATCCCAACTTCTATTGAGATAAACCACCTTATCTCCACACAGAGCTCATAAGAAAGAGCAATGCTGAGCGTTTGGGGGAAATTACCCTGGTTAACTCTGCCTCTAAGTGACTACAGTGGTTGTGTCAATTTTCCCACATGTGAAAGGGGATAATTACACTTGTTATTATTAACTATCAGGCTTTTATTAGGACAAAGGAAAGTATAACAATATTTGGAAGGTCCCTTAAAAATATGTTTTAGAAATTGCAGAGTGTTATTAATGGCATTATAATCCCTGCTTATAGTTCAGTGAGTAAGAGCATGGGTCTAGTTGTCACACAGCTGTCACTTGAATGCGGCTCTTCTACCTATGAGCTATGACTCAGGAAAAGTTATCTAATGTCTTCGTGCCCTAGTTATGTATCTGCAAAGTAGTAAGAGTAAAATTGATCTTCTAAATTCATTTCATATTAAACTATTTCAGGTATGTACAGTACCTACCATGTATTTCACATGAAGTGGTGTTGTTACAGGATATCTTTATAATATAGTTTGAAGCACTCTTGGTTTGCGGAAAAAAAAAATTAAATTTAAAAGTTCAAAGGATCATATAACACTCTGTAATTAAAAGAGATTAAATTAAAAGTCAACAAGTCGATAATCAGAAAAATCATATTTGGAAACTATGTATTTCTAAATTACTCAGAAGCCCAAAGAATAAGTTATAATGGAAATTACAGAATATTTGTAACTTAAATATAATGAAGAATACAATCTGTCAAATCTTGTGGATTTAACTAAAGATGTATTTAGAAAAAAAGTCATATTAAATAACTATTAAAAAAGAATAAAACAGTTGGGTGTGGTAGTGTACACCTGTAATCCCAGCGTTTTGGGAGGCTGAAGCAAGAGGATCGAAAGTTTAAAACCATCCTCACCAAAACCGAGGGACTAAGAAACTCAGTGAGACCCTGTCTCCAAAAAAAAAAAAAAAATACAAAATAGGGTTGGGGATGTGGCTCAGTGGTGGAGTCCCCTGAGTTCCATCCCCCCCTCACCTGGTACCAAAAGAGAGAGAGAGAGAGAGAGAGAATTTAAAAAATGATGGATGTGAGCATTATCCTTAGTTAGGAAAGAATACAAATAAACAAAATAAATAGAAGGAATTTTAAAACAATACAAGAACATCAAAAGGTGATTCTTTGATGTGTGAAACTGAGCAAAAGAAGATAAATTTTTAAAGAATGAGGAGGGGGACATAATTTTAGACGACAAAGACACTAAAACAAAAATATATCCTAAATAATTTTAAGCTAATAAATTTTAAAATTTAAACAAAAAGTAAAGGGACTGGGGTGTAACTCAGTGGTAGAGCACCTGCCTGACATATGTAAGGCACTGGGTTCTAGCCTCAGCACAGCATAAAAACTAAATAAGTAAAATAAAGGTAAGATAACTAGATAGTAAACATCACTAGAAAAATCAAACTTGCCCAAACTGATTCAAATGGGAAGAAGAACCTACATTCTTTATTGGAAGTATATTGTGTCCTTAATGGTAGAAATATTCAACCCTTATTCTAAAGGGGCCAAGCGAGAAATAAAGCTCACCAACATGTTTTATTAATATTTGCTTTAAAGTTTCTATACAGGATAATGAATGGATAAAAACAATCGAATTTAAAAATCTACTCCCCAAGAAGAACAGGAAGGAGTTCAGTGGATTAGACAAAGGGGAGTGAAGGGAAGGGAGAGGGATAGGAAAAGGAGAGACAGTGGAATGGATCCGACTTAACTTCAAATAGGAGCTCACCACAGTGCGTCTCACGATTGTGTACATCCACAAGACTGGGATCCTAATTAGAGTAAGATATACTCCATGTTTCTCTGTATATGTCCAAATTGACTCTACTGCATGTATAATTTAAAAGAACAAATAAAAATTTAAAAAAATTTTTAAAGATCAATTCATTGAGTCTAATTAAACATTCACACATGCATGCATGGATACTGCAAGTTGTCCCATCATCAGGTGTATCCACAGGACACTGATTTTTACATTTATTTTTTAAGTGAACTGTAGATTCATTAAAAAGGGATCCATGGAGTGGAGGAAGTGGAGTGCTGGGGACTGAATCGGAGTGGGTTGTGTTCCATACTTGGGTGAGAATGTCAGGGTGTGCCCTGGTATTGCATATAACTAAAATCGATTTTTAAAAAATCAATTCCATATCTAAATTCCAGCAAAAAAAAAAATAATATATAAAACATTTTACAAACAGAACCTGAAATACTTTTGACAAAAGTCAAGAAATACCTAGATGATTAAAAACACAGGGCTGGGGCTCTAGCTCAGTGGCAGAGTGCTTGCCTCGCATGTGTGAGGCACTGGGTTCGATCCTTAGCACTGCATAAAAAAACTAAACAAATAAAAGCATGCTGTCCATCTACAACTATAAAAAAAATTAAAAAAAAATATTTACCTCTAAGAAAATGTCACAGGATTATTTCATTTCCTTCTGCTACTGTATTTCAGAGTAAGCAAATCTTTTGATGACCTCTAATTAATTAAATTAATTACTGAGAAAGAGAGCACATTTGGTGTCACCACTTACTGTGATTCCTGGCACACTCCTGCATTTCTATGCACCTGTGTTGCTCCATCTGTCAAAGAAGGATCAAGGGCTTTTGTGGGGACTTCTTTAATCATGGCATGTAAGGCATGCAAGTAGGAAGTGCGTGAGGTTTATTGGGTGGATAACGAATAATAATGACTCTATCCTAGAACAGGTTTCCAGTTAAAAATCCCTTACAGGGAAAAAGGGGACAATTTGGTGGTGAACGCATTGGTTTCCACAGTCCAGCTGTCAGAGAAGGTCCACGCCCTCTGTCAGCACTTTCCCCACTGGCTAAGGTTTGAAATTCCATGGGGAAATTTTTTCAGCTCAACTGTCTGAGTTTCTATTGAAATTAGTATTATCTCGTTGAGGCAGGGAAGAGGGATTGTGGATTTTCTGAAAAAAAAATAGGTGTTGAGCCTGGATGTCTGGCATCTTTGGGTTGAGGGCATATAAGGGCAGGGTCACGCGGAAAGAAGGAAAATAGAGAGAAAGGGTTTCAGGAGTGATCTTGCCCATCCATTCTGACTTTACCCACCCAGATATTTGGGCAGTGTTGGCTCTGACAGCTGTGCCTTGGAGAGGTCTGGGAGGCACTGTGGGTTCGGCTGCCTTCTCCAGGGCAGAGTTGTAGTCCCCAGACGTGCTTAGGGTCCTCTCAGAAACCAGAAGCCACAAACCTCATAATCTGAGCATCCAGCCTATACTTTGAGTCCTGGCTCCTACTGGCCATAGCTGCCAGAGACGTGTTTCCAACTAAAGATTGTCTTAAATGTTTCCTTGGGTTTCAGTGTGGAGAGGGAAGAGGCAATTAGCGGAGGCTCCTATTCAGTTAATTATTCTCAAGAGTGATGGTGGCAGAAAACAAATGGATAAATGTTGCCAGAGGACTCCATTATCATGAGCCCCTGTTGGCCCAATGGAATCAAGGTCCAATTTTCCTTTGCAGACTTTATAATCATGTCCTCTGGTAGGGATTCTCAAGTCAAGGTGACCATATCACTTATTATCCAAACTGGATACCTTTGGGCATGAAAAGGGGAGTTGTTAATAATTGTGCTAAGACAACAAGCAAAAAGAAGCCTAAAGCAGGATTGTCTAAGACAATGCAGGTAACAGGGTTTCCCCAGATTTCAAGGTTTTCTAAAAACTGCTGTTGATTTTGGCTTTAGTCACGTACCTGCTCATTCTCTGGAGAGACTTGTTTGCAGTTGAGTTCTGGCTCCATCAATAACAAGCAATGTGACTTTGATTGCTTTCCTCCATCTCACTCGACCTGTTTCTTAATCAGTAAGATTCGATAAAGAACAACCACCTCATATGGTCGTGGTGATTTGATAAGATAATACCTGTGCACTGTGCCATTGCCTAAAAGCACTAAATATATGCTAACAATTTTATTATCACTACTATGTCATTGTTTTAATTTCTACATTTTTTTTCTGTCCATAGCTTTTTACAAAAGCTAGGGTGATTTCATAGGTGTGATTATTCCATCTTTACATTTTTATTGACATGTGACTATTATGCATACTAATGGGACACACTGTGGTATTTCAACACGTGCACACAACATGCCCTAATCAAGTCCGAGTAATTAGCATTTTTCTCTTTGTCGTTTCTTTATGTTTGAATCATCTGAGCTCCTCTCCTCTGGCCCTTCATAGAATGTATAATAGGCTATTGTCAACTCTATTTATCTCCTTGGGCTATGAAACTCCAGAACCTAATTTTTCTAATTGGGTTTTTATATCCATTGTCCTAACTCTGTGTATCCTCCTTCCTGGCACAATTTCCAGGCTGTATCTGGACCTGACTCATCTCGTCATGCTCTATGTTCACCTATTTTTTTTCTGAAATGGCAAGATTTAATTTTTATTAACACATTGATTTATATGTTACTGGAATTCAGTGCGACATTTCCATGTGTGCATCCAGAATGCATTGATCATATCCTACAACTTCTTCTCCACCTTTATCCCTGACTCCTCCCTGGGACCCTTCTCAGTCCCTAGTAATCACTATTACACTTCAGGCTGACTTTTTTTTTTATAGTTACATATTGAAAGAGGACATATGTTGTTTATCTCATTGTATCTGCTTTACTTCATTGAACAAGATGTCTTCCAGTTCTATCCATTTTGCTGCAAATAACAGAATTTCATTTTTCTTTATGGCTGAATAATGTATCCCACTGTGTTCACACAGCATAGATTCTTGATCCATCTACCTGTTGGTGAGCATTCAGGCTTATTCTATATCTCAGCTGTCGTGAGTGGTGCTCATATTTGATGTATGATGTCATGGTTTAGATAGGAAGAGTCCCCCAAAGACTCATGTAT